AAAAAAATAATTAAAACTAAACACTACCTATAACAAATACTGATATATTTTGGCACCACTAACAATCACCTCAATTAGAGGAAGAATCATTTTGACCCCCAATTTGACCTTAACCCAAGGCTGTTTTAAATCATGCCCTTTTTATCTTCCTGTTTTGTTGTCACTGAGGATCTCATTAATGTGCCACCAAGTAATAATGCTATGACACGAAATGCACTATAAAGTAGCATTTTCATGCACTACTTTTTCAAGACAACCTTTACTGAGCTCTCAAATTATGTGCCCAGGATTTAGTTATACAGGATACCCACAGATTTTAATAAAGTGGCATGGCTAAACATGTAATCCAGGGAATCCATCAGCCAAAAGTTAGGTGTATTGGTTTATGGACAGAGCTTAAGTAACAGGGTAAAGCAACTAGTCTAAATGCTAGTATGTTAAGAAAAAGTTGTAAACCCTCCCACACAAAAACAATTTAGGAACTTAGAAAAATGCCTCTAACATTAGGTCGGAATCAAACCACCACTGCCATCTTTACTCTTCCTACAGCTGTTTTTAACTAAGATATTCCAGAAAATGGACTCTGTAAAAGGTCACTTAAGTAAAGGTAGAATTAATTTTATTATTATATCGCCACACAAGTACTATTGATTGGATTAAAATACTTCCCAGGACACAGCTATTTACTATAAAATAGAAGTGCGTTCCGTGTTAGAAAACTTTCGAAGTACTGATCCTACTGGGGTAAGTCAGACTCTCAATGCATTTGTACTTTTATCCTACATATTTTCCTTTTACGTAAGACGGATCGGAATTTGACTAGCCCACCCCGACAGCACACCGGCCCAACACCCTCAAGCTGTAGCAAGAAGCCACGTTTTACTTGGGCAGACCGTTTCCCCGCCCCTCCTTAATACAATGCCTGTGGCCACTTGAGACTTCCTCAACCGAGCTCCAGAAACTCGCAGGTTTAAATGGCCAAATTGGAACCAACCCGGGCAGCTGTCATCTGAAACTCAGGAAAGCTGAGACCAGCCAACTCTGCCGACCGAGGAAGGGTGCGGAGAGATGTGGCGGGGGCCCGTCGGAGGGAACGCATTAGTCTCCCTCCCACCCCCATCAATTCGCTTTTCTGCAACCCCAGCGCCGCCATCCTGTTCCTGAATAATTAAACGGACTGGAGCCGTAGTGAGGTGGCTAGAAGGGCAGTCTGGGGTACGAGTTCCCCGAGCCGAGCGGTGCGGTCTGCGAGGCCGAGGGCGACATCCCTGGCGTGCAGAGGACTTTTATCCGGGGCTGGGAGGGAAGGGGCGACCCCCGCGGCCGGCGAGGCAGCCGGAAGCCGAGCGCGGGGAGTGACGTGGAGAGGCGAAGACAAACGGCCGCGGGGGCCCGGCCGTGCGGCCCGCAGGGGTCGGGACAGGTGGCCGGGCCTGGCCGCGAACAATGGGGGGCCGAGGCTGCCCCCTGGTGCTCACCTACCTCCGGTGCCCTCCGAGTTCTCGTTGAGGCTGCCTGAGGAGTCGTGCTGGGCGCCCACACACCCGCCCATGGGGGACCCTGGCGCCTCGTCCGCCACCTCCGGGCGCTTGTCCGGGCCCGCCGCCGCCGCCGCCGCCTCAGCCTCCTCCGGGGCCACCGCCAAGCTCCGGACAGGCGCGCCGCTCCGCTCGCCCGCCGCGGCCCAGCCTCCGCCCCCCTCGCCGCTCCACCCACCGCCTTGGCTCGGCCCCTTCCTCCGCGCCCACTTCTGCCTCAGCCCCCGGGCCGCCCGCCCGGCAGGCCTGGCCTGCGTGTAGCCCCCGCCTTCGGCTCGGCCCCGCCAAGCCGGGGCTGGCCCATCCCGGGCGGGCCGCAGCGCCCGTGTCGCCCGCTCACAGCCCCGCACACCCGCGCCCAGGCGAGCCCCGCGCCGGCGCCGTCTGTCCTCCAGTCCCCATCAGCCCCCGCCCCGCGGCGCCGCCCTCCGCACCCGCGGCCCGGGCTCTGCCTGGTCCGCCCGGAACCACCGGGGAGGGGCGGGCCGCGGGAGGCCGCGCTCTGATTGGCTGCGGCGGGGCCGCGAGCGGAGCGGGGAGGAGAGGAGAGCGGGAGGAGGAGAGGGGAGCGGGAGGAGGAGAGGGGAGCGGGAGGAGGACAGGCGAGGGGCGTCGCGCGGGGAGGAAGGGAGCTGAGGCGAGGAGCGAGGGGTGGGAGACGCGAAGAAGAAAGGAGCGGAGAGAAGGGAGGGAAAGCCGGAAAAGACGAACGAAAGTGAGAAAAGAGAAGTAGGAAGGGGCGAAACCGAGTTTCTGGCTCCTAGGCAGTCAGCTCTTTCTTTCTGGTGGAGGCGGGTCGCAAGGGGGCACCGAGAAGTAGTGAGGGAGACTCACAGGCGGGGACGGGGCGGAGGCGTCCTGGCTGGACGCTGAGGTCCCAGCACATTTTGCATTTGTGTAGAGCTCTGTGGGTTGGTGCCCACAGTCTGGGCTTCCTTTTGCCTGCCCTTCCTCCATTCCCCCTAAAATCACTGTGCCTCACTGGGTGGAGGCCGTCATTGTGGCCGCAAGCTGGACTCCGATTAGAGGGGAGGGACCTCGGAGGGGAGAAGCGATGAACGCAGTTTAGCGGGCGTGGGTTTGTTTAATTTTTCACGAGGTGGATTATTCAAACAATACTACTTCTCAAGATCCTACCTTTAGGTATCTTAAATCATCTTTAGAACAAAGTGAAATATAAATAAATGAAATACCCTGCTTTTCTAATCTAGAATTTGGCACATCGACCACGCCCAACATTCTTGGCGCTTACTTTTCCAATCTCAGCCAAATTGTTAAAGTCCCTTTAGAATCGTGCTTCTTGCTATATAATGCCTTAAAATTTTTATCGTCCTTCTCGGGCTTTCTAAACCTTATTTCTGCCTAACAGCTGTTTTAACTATCTGCTCCATTTTTATATCAGAATCCTTTTTTAACATCCTGGGTCAGCTTTTGCTTAGCATTAAAAAAATTTTTTTAAGTGAAATACCTAAGAAAGAGACGCTCTGCAGTTTGGGATTTGCATTTAAATATATTCTCATACTGCTGGTGGGAGTGTAAATTGGTTCAATCTTTTTGCAAAGCAATTTGGCAAATGCAGATCAAGAGACTTAAAGATGTTCATACCCTTTGACTCAGGATTATTCCACATCTGGGACTCTAGCTCACAGAAACAGTCCAAAATGCAAAAATTTAGAGATAATCAGACGTTAAACAAACAAAATCCTACACTTACATTAAAGCACAGAAATGTCGTGAGATATAAAAGTCTGCTATACTAAACTTATACTGAAGAATTAGCATTGTCCTCAGCTGTGGTCCTGAACATTCTAAAAGAGCTTATATACAATCAATGATTTTATGAGTTTTCAGAGGTTGCTCTGACATCAGAGGCTGTGCCACAAAGCCTTCTGTCTGATCATTCTCAGCTGAGTATTCACGTTGGCAGCTAGACATCACTTCATCATTTCCCTGAAGGAGAGAAGCTGCGTGCTCAATATTTGCAAAGAGATTGCTTTGTCCTGAATTTTGCACTAGAAATTGCAGAAACCAAGACTTCTACGATGTCTATTAAACAGATGGTAGGCACCCAAATGATGAGGGGTTTCTGATGAGCACTGAGGAGTTGGCACTAGGCAGAGAGAGCCATCTCATGGAGACATGCTCAGCAACGGGTGTCCTCAGCCCTTCCTTCATCTTAGAACAGAGACACATCTTCCCTGGAGGCAGAACAGTGTAGCATTAAGGGCCCCAGATCTGCTATTAACTTCCTGGATTGGAATCTGACTTCCACTGTGTACTAGCTATACAACCTTAAATTTCTAGAGTTCAGTTTCCTAACCTGTAAAATTGGGCCAATAATAATGCCTCAAACTGTGTGGGGACTCTTTATTAACTCTTCCTTTTATTTCATGTCTCGCATCACCTATCTAAACTTACTGCGTAACGCCTATAGAAACAATCCCTTCTTTTTTTAATTTTTTTATTTCAGCATATTACGGGAGTACAAATGTTTAGGTTACATATATTGCCTTTGTCCCACCTGAGTCAGAGCTTTAAGCGTGTCCATCCCGCAGATGGTGCGCACCACACCCATTAGGTGTGGATATACCCATCCCTTCCTCCCCCCCCCCACCTGCCCAACACTCAGTGAATGTTATTACTATACGTACACTTAAGTGTTGACCAGTTAATAACAATTTGATAGTGAATACATGTGGTGCTTGTTTTTCCATTCTTGGGATACTTCACTTAGAATGGGCTCCAGCTCTATCCAGGATAATACAAGAACAATGCTAGATCACCATTGTTTTTTGTGGCTGAGTAGAACTCCATGGTATACATATTCCACATTTTATTAATCCACTCATGTATTGATGGGCATTTGGGTTGTTTCCACATCTTTGCAATTGTGAATTGTGCTGCTATAAACATTCGAGTGCAGATGTCTTTTTTATAGAATGTCTTTTGTTCCTTTGGGTAGATGCCCAGTAATGGGATTGCTGAATCAAATGGTAGTTCTACTTGTAGCTCTTTGAGGTATCTCCATATTACTTTACACAGAGGTTGTACTAGTTTGCAGTCCCACCAGCAGTGTATAAATGTTCCTATCTCTCCACATCCATACCAACATTTATTGTTTTGGGACTTTTCGATAAAGGCCATTCTCACTGTAGTTAAGTGATAACTCATTGTGGGGTTTTTTTTTTTTTTTTTGAGACAGAGTCTCACTCTGTTGCCCAGGCTAGAGTGCCATGGCGTCAGCCTAGCTCACAGCAACCTCAAACTCCTGGGCTCAAGCAATCCTTCTGCCTCAGCCTCCCGAGTAGCTGGGACTACAGGCATGCACCACCATGCCCGGCTAATTTTTTCTATATATTTTTAGTTGTCCAGCTAATTCCTTTCTATTTTTTTAGTAGAGACAGGGTCTCACTCTTGCTCAGGCTGGTTTCGAACTCCTGAGCTCAAACAATCCGCCCGCCTTGGCCTCCCAGAGAGCTAGGATTACAGGTGTGAGCCACCGCGCCTGGCCCCCATATATTTCTTATTTTAAAAAATCATAAGAGATTTAATTCCTTAGCAAACGCCATGAGCTAAAAGCCTTCTCTAGAGGCCCTAAGTGGCAACCCCAGCATCACAATGTCATCGCAAGGCAGAGAACCATACAGAATATGTCTAAAAATGTCAGAACGATGGGAAATTCTAGAAGCATGGAAACTTGCAGAGAACTGTTAAATAATCTTGTATAACTTCTATGATATACCTGTCTTGATTAAAATTAGGCATTAAAAAAACAGCCTAAGTAGCTGAAACTCAAAAACTGAATTCTAGGCAAGGCATGCCAAAGGAAGATACTTTGTACAAATGATTCCAAAATAACAGATAACACAAATATTACAATGTGACTTAAGCCATTTCCGTATTCTATAGTCTCTTGCAAAAATTCCCCAAATTTCTTCAAAAAGGTTATCTGCCTAATAAGAAAGATTTTCTTGATATATACACAGAAATTTGTATACATAGAGATGGTTACAGAGGTAAAAGCAAAGTATAGTATCTCAAATGGTCAAAAAAATTTTTTTAAAAGTCATTTTTTTTTACTAAGGCTGGCTGATACTTAGAAAGGGTCAAGCCATTCTGTGATGTTTGTACAACATTGTGAATGTAATTAAATCTGTCATGCAAAGCTCAAATCTGTCATGAAAAGTATCCGAAGACTGTATCTTACTCAACGTTGATAAAAGACTTTTCATAACCCAATACATCCAGATTAATATTACAACCACCACCACATGTTTGAAAAGCTAAGGATCTGTGCCAACACCCTGAGGAAAAACTCTTTCCCTTCCCAACAAAAACCTACTTAATGAGCAAGAATTCTTAAATATGTTAACCTGCAACACACCTGAGCTAATTTCATTAAACCTCAATTAACTCTTAACTGTTATGACAATAACGGAGAATAAAAGCATCTATAATTAATTCCAGAAACAATCCTTTTATCCCAAACAACTTCTTTCCCCACTCCAGTTATATCAGAGCCCATCCCCTCTCTCCAGAAGAAAATTAAGTTTGGTGGTTGATGTTCCTTTTTCTAAACTTTACTTTGGAAAGGTATAGCACAGCTTACAGCTTACAGTCCTTAGAACTCAGGCTCAAAGAAACTGACACTACAGCTATCTAACTGGGTAAGACTGGTAATAAATTACCCAAAGCTAAGATTTCATGCTTTTAAAAGCCCATACTAATAATGCCCAGCTGGTCATAAGTCACACTATGAAAAGGCTTAAATAAATTAGTTCAAGTGTATTACAGAGAAAAATATTTATGATAATTTTTAAATGAGTGT